TTAATCGGCCATTTAATTGCCCACCCCCAGTTTATACAAAGTTAACTACGGCTCACTAACAGTGTTATGGTCGTTCAATTTGAGGTTCCGTCTTTAGAGTGCGAGTTGTCTAATGCACGTTAAACAAAACAACAATACGTTTTGTGCTATCAAAGAATGATATTTTAAGCAACAAATAAGATAATGTAATAATTGGTCACATTCACTGCATGTAAGATAAAATATACGTATGCAAAAAGGTTTGGGTTCACTGTTTTGCCTTCTTAAGGGGATTCGTTACATACCTTCATAGTTAATAATGTATACGGTCTAAATGCCTTAATTCCGGCACGTTTGCGCTAGTTAGCTGGATGCTATACGCGTCTAATGTTAACCGTAGGTAACAGTAGGCAAATTTAGACAGTGCAAAATTTGACTGCATTCTAATATAAAACAATTAAGTGTGTTCAGTTAAAATATTTATCTTGCCGCCGATGCCCCTTCCATATTGTTATTTCCTGACGATTTTGTTGTTTTCATGAAGACAACCACAGTAGTTGTGTTAACTTATGAAATGTTAGCCAAAATCCTAAAATGCACTCTCCACTCAAAAAGATTACTTGAGTAGGGTTGCAGAATCAATTACCATGCAGCATAACCCCTAGATATTACCGCTACTTTGGGATGCCGGCCTTTGAAGGAATCATTTTCTGGCCGCCTGCAGAAACCGCACTCTGCAAAAAATGGCTACATATGTAGTATGGGTTTTTCTCACTGATATTCGGTGCCCATGTAAATTCAAATATACTTCATAGAAAACATGCATAAAATATTCTTGCTTCTGCTCAGTTAAGGCAAAATTATGTTCTCTTCATACGTTGTACTTAAGGAAAGGTTAGAATTCGGCATCAGGAAACTTCTTCTAATTCCCAGATAATTTTGAAACCAATCTGCCGTTGCACCTGCATTCATGATCTCCAAACTACAAGCTGCATAATGTCCGTGAATGCAAAATCATACGTTTTTCTATTCTGCTAAAGGGAGACCACACGGAATTCATAAAATGTAACAGTGGATCTGCGCCATATTGTAAACTTTGCAAGCAGCATTACTAAATGCAGATACACGATGTTTATCAACGGGCATTTCATGGTCCTACAAAAGCACATAATTAATAGCTTCTCCTTAACTAAATTCTAACCTTACTTTAAATATTAAATTTAAGGAAGACGTAATTGTCTATCAACTAATTAAAATAGTTGATATTGTATGCGAGCTTTCTATGATATCTATTTGCATTTACAGGAACATCGAATATTAGTGAAAATGGTCGAGTTAATTTTGACATTTGATTCACTTTTTATACAGCTGCGTGACCTCATTCGAATCCCACGTCCACGCTCTTAATAGTCCTTTCAAATACAACGTTTATTGTTCTTTAGCGAAATTAAGTGAAGACATGAAGGCAAATTTGCAAGGGTTTTGACGCACCGTGCAATATCACGCAAAGTCAGCAGGAGTTAGCTTTCTGCGCAGCTGATGTTTGCACCTGCGTTTATTAAACCAGTATTCGTTTTCCCACAAATTTGTTCGTTGAACTTCAATTTGTCCCCCCAGTTACCGCAAAATGTTGGTCCCTTTTCAGCGCATCATATCAGAGAGGGCAGTTTAAATCTCAGACACCAAGCAAAAAAACACGCAGTACCCTCTGTAGTGAACCTACAGTAGATGTGCTAACTCATGAAATGTCGACCAAAATTTCGAAATGCGTTCTCGTTTCGAAAAGATAAATTAAGTAGTGTTGTAAAACTAATCATGATGCAGCATAAATCTATAATGATCCAGTTACCTCAGGGTATCGGCTTTCGAAAGAACTTATGGTCGGCTGCACGCAGGATCCATACTCTGCAAAAAGTGACTGCTTAAGTAGTATGCAAGTTTCTCGTTGATTTTCGATGCCCTTGAAAATTCAATTATATTTCATGGAAAATATGCATAAAAATATTCATTTTTTTGCTTATTCGGTAGAAACTCACGTCTTCTTCTAATTTCATACTCAAAAGAAGAGTATAATGCGGTTTTAAAAAACTTTTCTAATTCCCGAATAATTTTGAACCCGACCTGCTGTTACACCTGCATACAGAGTTTCAAAACTACAAGCTGCATCTCTTCCGTGTACGGAAAACCATGCATTTCTCTACAGTGTTAAGAGAAGACCATATGACGTTCATAAAATTAAGCAGTGAATTTAAGCAATATTGTTAACTTTACAAGCCATATTCTTAAATGCATATACATGACGTTTCATGAACGGCCATTTAACGGTATTAAAAAATCTCACAATTAGAAACCTTTTTAGAACCAAATTATACTCTTCTTTTGAGTATGAAATTGGAAAAAGACGTGATTTTCTACTGAATAAGTAAAAGAATGGATATTTTTATGCATGTTTTCCATGAAATATAATTGAATTTTCAGGGTCATCGAAAATCAATGAGAAAATTGCATGCTACGTAAGTAGTCAATTTTTTGAAGAGTATAGATCTTGCATGCAGCCGAAAATAAGTTCTTTCGAAAGCCGACACCCTGAGGTAAATGGACCATTATAGATTTAAGCTGCATCATGATAAGTTTTAACCTACTACTTAATTTATCTTTTAGAAACGAGAACGCATTTCGAAATTTTGGTTGACATTTCATGAGTTAGCACATCTACTGTAATTATGAAGTGAAATTTCGTCGCAATGTGCTGTCGTCCAAACGGTGATACCAAAAACCAAACCTTTGCGCGTATGTAGAATGATCGAGGGGCGAATTAAGCACTAGGCTACATTAGCTCCTCATTGGCATGGCCTCCGTCGCACCGCAATTTTGATAGGTCTCTAGCTATTACCCTGTTTACATGAAAGGATGGGTCCTGGTGCGCGGAACAGGCAGCCTGTAGAACGCGTAGGCGGGCCGTTCGACATTGTTAGCCACTGAATCTAGTCCAGTCTTCGGTCATGCTAAGTGCCTCTCTCTCTTACTACCGAGCACAAGAAGATGGGGGAAGGCGAGAGCGCGGCAGAAGCTAAACACGCCTTCTGTCACTATGAACTAATTCGCACAAAATTCAGTGCCCTGCGTTCACTATTCTCTCGGCGTAGGTCATGTCTTTGTTGACGACTTTCAAACTGACGTTTTGGGGTTCTCTAGCTCACCGTGTTGAATCATCAGGAGCGCCTACCTTTTGCATATTGGAAATGATTTAAAATCGGGTTCTACTAATTCGGTATCCACGTGGGGAAAATTTACCAAACAGCATCGGGTAAAGTAATTTTAATTTCCCAAAACGAGAGTCAAAAATCCATTCTTCCGCGTGTGTGATTAAGTGTTATCAGCAAATATAAGGGCAGCCTTTATGGACGCTGGAGTGGACATTTCTGGCTTATCATCCGCTGCTGGCCGTTGATAACTCAAAGATGAGGCTGGACTGTCCGTGGCTATAAACAGAATCCATTTGGTAAGTAGGTAATTAAGATTCCAAATCCTTTTATTTTTCCTACCGTGGACGTCCTCACTCGAATGAGATTGAAAATATTTATATTCTTATACAAACAAGCTACCAAGCTCTGATGCAAGTAGGACAGGAATTGACAATAGAATCGAAGAGACGAGTCTCAGGAAGCAGTCTTGAAGAAAAACACACGATCGCCGGGACAAGAGCTTTATTAGGGTGACGTTTCTGATTCCTGCTCGAATCCATCATCAGAGACAAAAGCAGATAAGGGTGGTTCATGCATATACGGCTGCAGTATCTATAGGATGCAGTAGCCATGCTACCGCCTACCTATGAATATTCACGGCTCCCCCCCCCTTCATCAGGGATCGTTGCACGTGACGTGATGACCGACATTTGCGTCGGTAATTGCTGCAAATTCCTCACGTGCGTTGGATTTTGGCGTTATGATTGTTCGACCATCTGACGCGCTGACCCGGGTGTTGTGAAAAATGTTCACCTGTGCGCTCCTAGCGTGGCCAATTACCCCGCCTAGACGAAGTCTCAGCGCGGAGTATTGAATGGGAAGATCATTGCACTTGCTAATAGACTGGGGGCCAGTAAACCATGACTCATGCAGCTCCCGGCTCACGAAGTTGTCACCTCTTGCGAGAATTTTGGTTTCGTAAAATTTGAATGCGTGGCCGGAACCCGTCGAATGAGCCGTAACTTGACAACTAGCGTCCTTTCTCCGCACCGCTGCAGCGTGTTCGACCATTCGCGTTTGGAGTTGTCTCCCGGTTTCTCCGACGTAGTTGCTTTGTCCGCAACTGCACCAGATCCGATAAACGACTCCAGACGTTTCATGCTGTGGCAGTGGTTCTTTCGGTTCTAGTATCTGACGCCTGATGGTTGCCTCCGGCCTGTGTGCAACTCCACCCCCAAGTGGTGCGAGAAGGCGGCCAACATCTTCCAAAACGTTCTTGACATATGGAAGCGCACGCCAAACTTTGGTGTCCGTGCAGTTAGGCCTTTCGTCACTTTTGCGTATGCACCGGTTGACGAAGTTGCGCGGGTAGCCATTGGCTTTGAAGACCCGTCAGAGGTATTGTAGTTCGGCAATCTTGTCTTCCGGCTCACTGCAGTGCGTTTCGACACGCCGATAGAGCGTCCTTACACAACAGCGTTTGTGGTTGATTGGGTGGTTGCTGTTGAAGTTCAGTACTTGCATCGTATTTGTCGCTTTCCTGAACACTTTGGTTTTTAGTTCACCACAATCTTTGCGGCATACGAGGACATCCAGGAAGGCCAGCTGGTTGTTCTCTTCCTCCTCCATCGTATATTGTACGTCCGGGAAGACCGCATTCAGATGTTCCTTGAATGTCAGCAGTTGATCCCTATCGATAACGACGAAGGTATCATCCACATACCGGGTCCAGAACTTCGGTTTGTGATGTTGGAAGTCCAGCGACTCTAACCGTCGCAGGACTGCATCGGCGATGAATCCCGAAATCGGCGAACCCATTGGTGTACCCTTCACCTGTTAGTATATTGTCCCGTCGAACGTGAAGTACGTCCTGAGACAGAACTTCAGTTGCTGAAGGACTTGGGCGCGTCCGAGACGATTCATCGTTTTATAATATTTGCTTTGTAGAAGCAGCTCGATTGTCTCGATCGCCAGGTCCTGGGGAATAGAAGTAAAAATGGATGTAGCATCAAAAGATACCATGACCTCATTTGGATGGAGGCTTACACCTTTGAGTTTCTCCAGGAATTGTGCTGACGAAGAGACCGTAGTGTCTGACTCAGTGGTCAGGAAATTGAGACGCCGGAACAGCCACTTAGCCAGTCCGTACGTTGGGGTACCTTTGAGCGACACGATGGGTCGGATATAAGCGCCGTCTTTGTGCACCTTAGGGAGGGCATAGAATCGGGCCAAAGCCGTATCTTGGGGTCTCGCCATGCGTCTGTCGGTCGGTGTTATTGCACCTAAGTTCTTCAAGTTCAACAACGTAGCATTTATTTCACGTGTCAGCGCCTTTAAATGGTTCGCTGCACATGGGACATAGAACTGTCGGTCCTCCAGTAAACCTTTGGCTTTTTGAAGGTAGTCTGTCCTGTCCAGTACAACTGCGGCACGTCCTTTGTCCGCTGTCACGATGACCAGGACTTTGTTTGCCTTGAGTTCTCTAAGCGCATCACGTTCGATCTTGGAAAGCACTTCCTGCGGCCTGTGGGCCATTAGAGACGACACTTGGTGACAGATGAGGCTCTTAGTCTCCTCCGTTGCCTCCGTCTGACTAAGGATTGACTCCACTGCTGCAATCATGTTAACAGGTTTGGCGTCAATCACGCTGAATGAAGCTTCGTGCCTTAAAACGTGCAACTGATCCTTCGCCATTTCCTTTGACGACAGGTCGTGCACCAATTTGTCGTTTCTGGGCGACGTTGGATTGGAATTTGTTCTCCAGTACTGCGTCGCGTATCATTCTCTGTTCGCGAACTTGCTCAGCTATCCTTTGCAGGAGCAGATTTGTACCGATCTCGCTCATGAACTCACAGCATCTGGTCTTTTCTTGGTCAATCCTTTGACGCGGATGTCGGCCATCACGCCACGTGCAACGATCCCTGATGAAAGGGGGAGCCGTGAATATTCATAGGAATGCGGTAGCATGGCTACTGCATCCTATAAATACTGCAGCCGCATATGCATGAACCACCCTTATCTGTTTTTGTCTCTGATCCGAAACGTCAGGCTAATAAGGCCTTTGTCCCGGCGATCGTGTTTTCTTCTTCAACACAGAAATTGACGTTCACGTCCTGACTCGCGCCAAAAACTCAAGACCCGTGCAGGCGCTCAATGACAGTCATTAAACAGGCAAGGACAGCAGAATTTAATGGTACCACAAAATTTCGTGACGGCTTCTCAACTGCTGCCGGTCGTTGCATAACAGAAATAACAAGTGAGAAAGGTACAAAGGTTTGAATTTCGACAGAGAAAATCGATGGAAAACAGCAAAGTCAACGTGTACTGCGCGTAGACTAATCGATAAAATGGCAGCCAGAGCAGTTGAGCACCTGCCTAAATGGCTTCTAAAGCAGGAGAACAAGATACTACGGTCTTCCATTACAAAACATCTCCTTGATAGTGGCCATTCGGTTGACCCTAAGACGTATTTTCGAGTATTAGTTCGAGCACGGACTACTCGGTTATTGCACTACCTGGAGGCAACCTATATACGGCGGGAGAAATCCGACCTATGTAAACAATTAGACCACGTGGTCAACCTCAGCTTGCCCTGGTAGACCCGAGCCCCTTTTGAGTTTCGAAATCCCTCGACACGCCTAGTTCCCCATTTTCATTCCTATGTTGCATTTTGAAGTTACCATTTTATCGATTAGTCTACGCGCAGTACACGTTGACTTTGCTGTTTTCCATCGATTTTCTCTGTCGAAATTCAAACCTTTGTACCTTTCTCACTTGTTATTTCTGTTATGCAACGACCGGCAGCAGTTGAGAAGCCGTCGCGAAATTTTGTGGTACCATTAAATTCTGCTGTCCTTGCCTGCTTTAAATTCATTCCGGGGAAATATTCCTTCAACATTCATTAAACTCTGCTTCTCCTCATCAGTTGGCGAAAACTGAACACTGATCACATTGAAAGCGTTTTTATTATGTCATGGGACGCTTCATTTGGGGTCAGTTTGTTTAAAGGCTAAATAACCTACTAAATCGCAACCAACCCTTGAAGTTGCAAATGATGCTGGATGGTAAGAACTGGCTTAATTTCGTCCAGATACGCCCAGAAATTATGGTAAATACAGATAACTGCGGTGTCGTTACTGTTATAGACTGGCTATTTCAAAAGGCGAATTTCTAATAAAGTGAATTTTTGCTTAATAATTGTTTACGGCATCCTCTTTTAAAACCGACTTTTGCAACGAATAACAATCACGCAAAGTGCAATAAAATGACCTCGTGCGAGGTTATCATGGAAGGCCGTGAGACTTGCCTTTGCGCAACCCAGGATTCTTTGGTAACTGGCGCACATTCCAGGCTTATTCGTGCGTATGACAATCGCGACACCACTAACTTCCTAGGGTGATCCATTTTTGACAAACACAGTTACAAATTTCCGGTTACGATGAATCTTGTCCCCATTTGTTTCAGTTTGAAGAATGTCCTGACGTAATGCTTACCGTCAGTCTGAAAACGATAGTTCAGTACTAAATGTATAACCGTATACATTAACCGGATTTGACATAAACATCAGGCGTTTCTCTTTAAATCATTTTTTTCTTTCAGGTTCAAACACATATTGTTTCCAAATTAGCTTATAAACAGGACTTTATTTTCGAGTCAGTCAGAAATCATTTTAGGTAAGTTTTCATATATCATCATCAAGATTTTAGCGCTACCGAGCAGAACTGCGGTCTTCAGAGACATTGGTCCTCATGCCTTCGAAATTAAACATTTAGATTACTGGAAGGTGCAAAGGATGAATGATCAAAACCTTTGTCCCAAGATAATTTAATGGTTTGAAAGAGATAATTCCACTATTTCGACTAGTGAAAGTCTCAGACATTGTAATGCGAGTCGTTCATCTTCCAAAGCCTGCAAGTTTAGTTCCACGTAACCGATCTGCCAGTACGGAGGATTTTATTTTATGTCCCTATCCAAATGGTGACCTTAAGATACATGTTAAACAAGGCTGTTATTACTGACAAGAAATAGACAAGTCAGACTAAGGCAAAATGTTCTAACATGACCATCTGTGAGACCTTTATCGGGGAAACAATATCATGCTGCGTGTTAAATATTGCCAGCAACTTGGCCATTTAGAAGATGTTTCAGGGAAAAAAGATGCCAAAAGGTAATACCTTAAATCCATCATCGCACTGCATTATCCGTCAAATCTCTGTTAAAGGAATTTAGTTGCAAACGATAATGCGCTTGCCTTATGCCTCTGACACCGCGACTTCGAAAGTCAGTTTATTTTAGAATTTACTTTATTACGTAAGTGGACTAAGACTAACGTCAAACAACCGAGGCTGACGAGGAGTGATTTTTTAGTACTTTTTAAAATCTGAGCCGTCTCCATCACTATTCCTTACTATATTGGCCAGAAGACGAAAGGATGTTATAAAAAACAGAGGAATCACTTGCCATAATTTGATGTATTGGGATTTTGCCGAATAACAATCATATCTCATCTTTGAGCCACGCATACGAATGTTCGTAGATTTGCAAAAAGTATTTGATTTTCGTAAAAATCTTTTCCATAGCCAGAAGTTACCTTTTCAAATATATTTATTGGCATAAGAATGCTCAGAAACTCACTACTGGATGCTTAACAAACAAAACACCCTAGTAAATCCGTTGTTACTTCTTGACTTGTTTCGATATTATGTTGTGTTGTACACGAAAACTGCTTCATTTTCTGCCCCTGCGATTAAATATGAACGCAACTTCAGACAGCCTGCCCTGGATCGTACAAGCTGGTGGCGCGATGATGCAGCAGATAAGTGACCCTGTGTTTTTCGCCACCAAATCACATCTAACCATCACCTGGACAGGATGCCGGCGTTGTTCCTTCCGTAGCAATTAGTAACCAAAAAACCCTGGGGGTTCGTAGCGGCAAAATCTGTCATGGCGTTTTTTTTCCAGATTTGTAAGCTTGCACAAAAGTCGCCTGGACGGCCGGTGTGCATTTGATTTGACTAACCGCAAGCCTTTCGGCGTTGCACTCGTACATTTGCCGTACGAAGGTGGGCCCGAGTGAGTAATAATCCCTTTTTATTGCTAGGGTTTGTCCACCAACCTCACCTAGTTTTTGACGTTGATAAAAGTAGTATTTTACGGAGTCCCTGCAGCTCAGACTGCGTGCTTTATTGCGCCCAACTTTGCTCGGGAACGGTCGAGTGATGGGCCCCAATTAGATGCCGATAATGATACCAATGGGCGGGGCGGGGGGGGGGGTTCACGCGTGAGGCGGCACGCCGGACAGTAAACTAACCGCATTCTGGAAGACACAGATCACGGTCTATTGCATTTACCGGTTAAAAAATCTTCCACATGATACGGATTTTTTACAGGTAGCAGTGAAAAAAGAGTTTGTATTTATGAGGTATGCCCTGGTAGTCGATGTATTTGTGTCGTAAGCAGGTTTTAGTAAATAACTTCCCCGGGAGGGCGGCAGCCTTTTTTCGGACGTCCGTCTGCGTAGGCTGGCTGACATTGTCGCAAATCTCGCGGCAAATCATGCCTAATTTGTTATGCGCAAAACAACAGCAACAACAAACATAAGGCATGGTTTTCGATCAAGTGGCGTGTAAATAAAAGGTTTATGTCTGAAATTCTCTATAAGGGAGATGCCCAAATTCAGTTTGTTCAATGTCTGCCAAAAAACTTTGTCCAGCTAGTTGAGTACGCATATTTTATCTGCAAATATCAATAAACGAATGAACACAGGACGTTAGACGTTAGGTAGAGCATACGCGATGCTGCGCGGACCTATTTTCTCCAGACATTTTCCATCGGAAGGGCTTGCAGCTAATGGGGCGTGTGACGTGTGCCCATTAGCGAATAATGTACTCACCCTGTGGTTATCAAAAGACATGCTGTTGAGCGCATAAAACTGCCAAAGGATCCGCAAGCAAGTTTCGTCAGTGTTTTGACATTTTATAGGAGCTGATATTTTTTCGCGTTTATTTAAGACGTCCGGTAGTCTACATAATTAATGTCTCCCCCTTTGGCCAGGGTGTTTTACGGCTTTTTGCAATATCAACGTTCTTCTTTCTACGCAGTAGGTAGTGAATAATAGTGGTAAGAGTCTGAGTCATGCTAAGCGGATGAAGAATCACCATAAACGGTTTTATTTCGTGTCTTTTTAAAGTGTTTTTTTCAAAATATCCTGTGTTAACCGTTACAACATTTGAAATTTATTTTTAAACACAAGTAGCTGACAATGCTTTAGTCTGCTGATTTATGAATCTCTTCATGGTACGTCTATATGTTTCACATTCTTTATTATATTGGTTTATTGCAGTAGCGTAACTAACAAGATGACCAGGAATGTGAACGATATTTCGCATTTTTCTGAAAGGAACTAAGTTTTTGGTATCCAAAGTCTTTCAGTTAAATTTAATACGGGCGAAGTTGTACTAACTTGTTCGCTCTACAAGATAATGAGTTCGGCAAAATAACAGCTGGGATAAATGCACATTTTCAAAAACACGTAACAACATCCGTATGATGATTATTGTCATTTAAAGTTTTCCTTAAACTTTCCCAAAGGAGTGAACACATGGTAGTCCGCTAAGCAAAAACGCCAAATTAACGACATCAAATTTTAACGTAAAATATTTGCATAAAATATTAAACAGAATAGTAGAGGTATT